CCTCCCTGAAAATTGCTTGTCATAATCACCTTTCGGTCCTAATCTTATCTAAACTCGACTTCGGCGACCAATTTTAATCTGCTTCTCAATAGTCGTCTACACTCGATTCCATTCCTCATCAAGGGTTACGTTCGTGTCTCGGGACTTCTCGATCTCAGTCGAGAGCCTACATACAGAGGCGAACGTTTTGTCTATACGAGGTCGACGGGATGCCCATTGTATCCGTTATTTATCCCTTCCATGACCTTCATAGCCTTACCACTTACAAACGATAACTGATATAAGCAAGAATAATTTGTTTAACCATTTTACCCTGTTTATTGCACCCCTTCCCCTTTTTATTCACTCTCCATTGGCTTCCCTTTGTTTGCCTCTCCTTTACGTTCACCCTGCATCTTACTTTACTCTTCCTCATCGGGAAGCTCTGACGATTTATACTAGCTCTTCCTCACTTCCATGTGCAAAAGCTCACTTGCCTCTTACAATTTTGCATTACTTTTTTCTTGATCACTCCATTTCGCCCTCATTCTAGTGTAGTGGACATTGATGCTTCTAAATACCAGAAATCCTCTGCAGATTAAGGGGCTTTCATGCATGCACACCTAAATGCCATTCACCTCTATACATTGTATAGAGGTGGATGATACTGATACTGAAATAAAGAACCTAATATAATCTGTCGGGAAAGGGGCTGCTTCTCTTGAACGTATCATCAGAGGTCATTTATTAGACATGGCTAGTATTTTCTAGTTATATTCAGTTCTCACTATCATCCACATTGTGACCATGTCTACCTCGTCATTTGTAGTTGGTGTAGACTCCCAAAGCGCATCACAGGCTATTTATTTATTTATTTATTTAGAAATTTTAGCATACAAACGAGGTACAAAAAATACAGGTAAGAGCAGCATGCCAAAGCCACTTATATGCATAGCATTACGGGCTGGCTTAAAATTAACTTAAGATTAACTAAGCAATGATGAAATCAATGATAAGACATTATTGTAATCAGATAACTATAAAATACAAATGAGTATTACAAAGACAGGTCCTATGGTTGCATGCATTGCTGTTCATTCAGTAGAATGGAGTATTCTGTTAGGTAGTGTATTTTAAAAAATAACAAAGTTAGGTTTAACATTTGTGTGATATAATTGTGAGTAACATTTAGGATATACAATTTTTTAATGGTTCAGTTATTCAGTATTTATTTGGTTTTGAGTAAGTGAACTTTGAAAAGAGACTTGAATTTATAAACAGGTAGTGTTTCTTTTATATTTAAAGGTAATGAATTCCAGATTTTAGGGCCTTTTATGTGCATTGAGTTTTTGCATAGCGTGAGATGGACACGAGGAACATCAAAGAGTGATCTGTGTCTTGTATTATGGTCATGTGTTCTGTTGAGGTTGGCAAGGAGATGTTTGAGGGGAGGGTTAATATCAGAGTTAAGTGTTCTATGTATGTAATAAGTGCAATAATAAGTATGGATGTTTTGTATGGTGAGTAGGTTGGGTGTTTTGAATATTGGTGGAGTGTGCTGCCTGTAGTGAGAATTTGTTATCATTCTAACTGCAGCCTTTTGTTGGGTAATTAGTGGTCTGAGATGGTTAGTTGTTGGCCTATAGTTATTCAACTCTGTTTGGTCTCCTCCTTTATGGATCGGGGTGACCCTTGCTATTTTGAGATTATTATTATTATAATCAAGGGGGAAGCGCTAAACCCGGAGGATTATACAGCGCCTGGGGGGGGGGGTGTGGAAGGCATTCAGGCTTAATTCGGGGAACTGGAGCACAGATCCAATTCCCCAAATCAAGAGCCCCTCACCAACATCAAGGAACCTTCCTTGAGGGGCTATTTTGAGAACTGTAGGGAAGGTGGAGGATTCAATGGATTTGTTAAAGAGTGTTGCAATGATTGGTGATAGTACTTGTGACGCTTTTTTGTATATAAAGGGTGGTAAGGTATTTAAATCTCCTGCCTTGTTTTTCAGTGCGTTGATAATAAGGGAGACTTCGTATGGGTTAGTCGGAGCTAGGAACAGTGTGTTCGGGTAGTTGCCAGTGAGGTAGTCATTTGGTGGGGTATCTGAGCTTGGGATATTATTGGCAAGGTTTTGACCTATTGTGGAGAAGAAATCATTGAGTCTGTTTGCTGTTTCTGTTGGTGGGAGTTGGGGTTCATCTGATTTTGCTAATTTTATTTCGCTATGTCGTGATATCTTTTTTGTTCCAGAAATTCGACTTCTCACCCCATCGTCCTTCATATACGGTTTTGGTTACGTCGAAATTCTAGTAAGTGTAGTCTTGTTTTGCTGGTTTCCTGAATATGTCGATGCTCAGGGCAATGAACGTGCAGATTCAGCCTCTTGATCAGCTATTCAAAACCTGATATCCCACAGGGTTATGTTTTCCTTACTCTGAATATTTTTTGATACTCTCACCTCCTCTGCAACCAATGGAAACAACGTTGGTCCGCATTAGACCACAACAAATTGTTTTCTGTCAAACCACATTTAGGATTTTGGCCATCTGCCCTCTGTTGTAGGGTTTGGCAGACCATTCTTGTGTATATAAATTGGATACGTGAGACTTGCTTATGGACACCATATGAAGAAATGACCCCAATGGAAATAAGTCACTGTCTGACTTTTTTGGGTTATCCTAGGTTCTCTACACATATGCTGCTATGTATGATAATTCTATGTAACTGTATTTGTGTATACCTGAATAAACTTACTTACTTACTTACCAGTGAGGACTGTCAGGTCGCACTGTCCTGTCTGTCAGAGTGCATGTAGGATCTACATCCATCTAAATCACACCAACACTCATTCTTACCGACCGCATCAAAGATCCCAATGGAAATGTCACGGTTAGGTTAGGTAAGGTTTGCCAGGAAACAGGACAAGTGTTTCCTGACGCGGGTCTTAGTCAGATGACCCGCCTTTGGAGCTTTGGTCATCTGACCAAAGCCTTCAGCTGGCTTACCGGTCCACCCCTTTAAAAAAATGGTCATTTATAACCAATTATGGAAATGTTACTTTGACGTTTTTGGGTTATGCAAGGTAACCTAGACATATGCTGCTACGTACGATAATTTATGTAATTGTATTTATGTGTACCTATACCCGAATAAACTTACTTAATCTTTGAAAGTTACACTTTTGATAGACTTTTTGACTTAACTGAAACTAACCAATTGCATCAATTTTGATTTCAACTGAAAATAACCCATTACACCAACTTGGATTTCAATATTACTCCTGCATTAACTCGCTTCACAAAAAAACGCACTATTATGGAAAACTGGAGGAAATAATAACTAGGACTGAGTATACTACAAACTCTAATCACACAATAGAGCGGAAAAGTAATGCGAAGGACCTGGGTGTGGTAATGTCCGAAGATCTCACCATTAAGGACCACAACAATGCCACTATCACATCTGCGGGGAAACTGATAGGATGGATAATGAGAACATTCAAGACAAGAGATGCTAAGCCAATGATGATCCTTTTTAAATCACTTCTCTCTAGGCTGGAATACTGCTGTACATTAACATCCCCATTCAAGGCAAGTGAAATTGCAGATCTAGAGAATGTACAACCTTTACTGCACATATAAGTTCCATCAAACACCTTAATTACTGGGAACGCTTGGAAGCACTTGATTTGTACTCACTGGAGCGCAGGCGAGAGGTATCATGATCTACACCTGGAAGATTCTGGAGGTACTGGCCCTTAATCTGCACACAAAAATCACTCCCTACGAAAGCAAAATTATTATTCTAGTCATGGGAGAGCGCTAAACCCATAGGGATGGGGGGTATGGAAGGCATTCAGGCTCAATTCAGGGAACTGGAGCACAGATCCAATTCCCTAGCTCACGAGCCCCTCACCAGTTTCAAGGAACCTGCCTTGAGGGGTACGAAGGCAAGAGACTTGGCAGGCACTGCAACATACCCCAGTGAAAAGCAAGGGCGTCACTGGTACACTAAGAGAAAAGCAATAAGTGTCCAGGGCCCAAGACTGTTCAATAGCCTTCCACGAGCCATAAGGGGCATTACCAATAGACCCCTGGTTGTCTTCAAGAGGGAGCTGGACAGATACCTCGAGTCGGTGCCGGATCAGCCGGACTGTGGTTTGTACGTTGGACTACGTGCGGCGAGCAGTAAAAGCCTCATTGATCAGGCCCTGATCCACCAGGAGGCCTGGTCGTGGACCGGGCCGCGGGGGCGTTGATCCCCGGAATGCCCTCCAGGTATCCCCATTTGGGGATGCTGGTGACAGGCTCTTGATCCAAGGAACGGGACTCATCATCCCCTTCCTGGGTTCGAACCCAAGTGCTTCCCATTCCCCAGGCGTGGTCCCTGCTGTTTAGCGCTTCCCCTGAAAAGAAAAAATCACGGGTGGCGCCGAGCCCGTAAGGGTCATACAGCGCCTGAATAATGAGGTACAAAAAAGTTTGACCCAGGGGAAAGTTGTTCCATTTCCTTGGAGGAGGAGTCTCTCACTATTATGGTGGACAGTCATGCAAGTCAATATAGTTAACTTAACCTCTGTTTATTATTGATTTCTACCCATATCCCCCCACCCCTCCCTCCCTCATATCATACAAGTTATCCTTCACTGATGTATATTTACTCTGAAACTATTTGTCTAAAGAGTTTAAAATATAAGTGAGCCATGTACAAAATTTAAATGGAAATTAGTGATGGTTGTGCAGAGATGAGAGCTGAGTCAATCATCCTACCTCAGTGGCAGTCAGCAGCATACTGGCGAGTTTGCCTTGCGCTCTCACACTATAGACGAAATAAGTGCGAGTTAATGTCTACTCAATAGGTGACGTCTAAAGGATCAGAAAACAAAAGGTTGTCACTTTGTCGCCTAAAGCGCGCTTTACTTGCCTCCAGATTACTCATATATACTCTTTAACAGGTAAGAAATCTCCTTGGGAAAACAAGCTCTGGCAGTGCAATAATCATTAAGTTGAATCTGTGTCCTTATGAGTGTCCGTAGTCGTTGGTCCTCAAAGTGTAAATCTCGAGTATATTTATAAGGCAAAGGCGTAAATGACAATTGAAAACATAAACATGGGGTAAGTAGAAGACGTGTGGTAGAGGAGGAGTGTAGTGTAGTGTAGTGTGAGTGTGAGAAGCAGCAGGTGAGAGGGAAAGTGACCCAGCCCCCTCCCTGATGTTGTGTCTGCTCCAGATCTGTCAATAAAGGGATGCTGCCCAACCATCACTTTCATGTTTAATCTCCCTCACCTCAGTGATAAACAAGTCTGGTAAAATTCAAGTGGGTGGGGGAGGGGGGAGGAGATAAGTGCAGTTATCACTGCAGTCTGATAAAACTAGTCGTCTGTTTAAGGAGCAGGTAGTAATGTCCAGCAGGAGGTTGGTCCAGCTCTCAGTAGCAGCAGAAGGCTAGTCCAGCTCTCAGGTAGCTGCAATACGATCCTGGTCCAGCCCTTCGGTAGCAGTAACACCGTGCTGGTCCAGCCTTCGGGCAGCAGCAGCAGGATCCTGGTCCAGCCCTCGGGTAACAGCACACGATGCTGGTCCAGCCCTTGGGTAGCAGCAACATGATGCTGGTCCAGCCCTCGGGTAGCAGTAACACCATGCTGGTCCAGTCCTCAGGTAGCAGCAGCAGGATCCTGGTCCAGCCTTCGGGTAGCAGTGGCAGATCCTGCTCCAGCCCTCGGGTAGCAGCAATACGATCCTGGTCCAGCCCTTCGGTAGCAGTAACACCATGCTGGTCCAGCCTTTGGGCAGCAGCAGCAGGATCCTGGTCCAGCCCTCGGGTAGCAGCAGCAGATCCTGCTCCAGTCCTTGGGTAGCAGCAGCACAATGCTGGTTCAGCCCTCAGGCAGCAGCAGCAGGATCCTGGTCCAGCCCTTGGGTAACAGCACACGATGCTGGTCCAGCCCTTGGGTAGCAGCAACATGATGCTGGTCCAGCCCTCAGGTAGCAGCAGCAGCAGGATCCTGGTGCAGCCTTCGTCTAGCAGCAACACAATGCTGGCCCAGCCCTTGGGTAGCAGTAACACCGTGCTGGTCCAGACCTTGGGCAGCAGCAGCAGGATCCTGGTCCAGCCTTCAGGTAGCAGAAGCAGGATCCTGGTCCAGCCTTCAGGTAGCAGAAGCAGGATCCTGGTCCAGCCTTTGGGTAGCAGCAGCAGGATGCTGGTCTAAATCTCAGGAAGCAGCAAAAGGTTGTTGGTTCAGAATTGTTGAAGCAGCAGCAAGGTGCTGATCAAGCCTCCAGTAGCAGCAGAATGCTGGTCCAAACCTCGGGTAGCAGCAGCAGCAGGATGCTGGTCCAGCTCTCAGGAAGCAGCAACAGCAGAAGGATGCTGATCCAGCCCTCAGGGAGCAGCAGCAGCAGGGTGCTGGTCCAGCCCTCAGGGATCAGCAGCAGCAGGATGCTGGTCCAGCCTTCAGGGAGCAGCAGCAGCAGGATGCTGGTCCAGCCCTTAGGGAGCAGCAGCAGGATGCTGGTCCAGCCCTCAGGAAGCAGGATGCTGGTCCAGTACTTGGGTAACAGCAGTAAGATTCTGGTCCAGACTTTGGGTAGCAGCATCAGGATGATGGTCTAGCCCTTGGGTAGCAACAGGATGCTGCTGGTCCATCCCTTGGGTAGCAACAGGACACTGGTCCAGCCCTTGAGTAGCATCAATGGGATGCTGGTCCAGCCCTTGAGTAGCATCAGTGGGATGCTGGTCCGGCAGCAAGTTGATCCAGACCTTGGGTAGCAGCAGAAGGCCAGTCCAGTCCTCAAGTAGCAGCAGAAGGCCAGTTCAGACTTTGGATAGCAGCAGAAGGCTGGTTCACACCTAGGGTAACAGCAAAAGGCTTGTCCAGACCTTGGGTAGCAGCAGAAAACCAGTTTAGACCTAGGGTAGCAGCAGAAGACTGGTCCAGACCCAGGGTAGCAGCAGAAGGCTGGTCCATGCTTCAGGTAGAAGCAGAAGTCTGGCCCAGACTTCAGGTAGCAGACCTCCAGCAGAAGAAAATTTCTTGTGATTATTAACTCTGAAGAGTTAATATCCCAAGAAAGCTCTGCAATAAGTCATATTTTTATTGGAGTGGTTTAGGTCTTTTATCCTATGATGTTACATAACAGCCAATTAACTCCTAGGTGAGCAAGGACGAGTGTTAGGAGATTTGATAACATGTCTGCCCTTCCTTTGGACCCTTCAAGTGAGGTGGTTCCCTGATGCTCTCCTTCCTTGAACATAACTCACTTTGACTCTTCTGAGTAATTTACACTATACATGTACAGTATATGATAATTGTACTTGTGTACCTGTACCTAAATAAAATTATTACTTACCTCCAGCACTTCCTACACACACTTTCCCAGATATAATAACCCTTTCCTTGGATTTCAACCCAGGTCTTCTCAGAGATTTACAAGAAAATAATTTTGGGTGAGGAGAATTCTTGAGGGAGATTTTTAAGATATATGATATAAAGATACAAATTTTATTTCCAAAATAGAGTACGTACAAGGAACTACTATTGATTTGAAAAGTTCCCTCTCAAATAACTATTACCAAAATTTAAAAAAAAAATGCATCTCATATACAATACAAATAAAGTTCACAACAAAATTATTGAAACAGTTATGGGTAAGACAGAGTAAAACTGCAGAGGAACAGGGAGTATATACAGTGGAACCTCGGTACTCGAACAGCTCCATACTCAAACAGTTCGGTATTCAAACGCTTTGTTCGGCAAACAAATTGCTCGTAGTCGACTGTTTGCTTGGCACTTGACCTGCCAGAACTTTGCTGTAAACTATTTCGTGTTTCTTCGCATTTTTTTTGGTGTTTTTTATATTATTTGTATAAATAAGTGAACATTGGGCCCAAGAGGGTTAGTGAAAACAGCCAACCAAAAAGAAAATTGGTTTGGAAAAATTTGTTCTGTACTCAGATCGGCACTCAAACAGCCTTCTGGAACCAGTTAAGTTTGAGTGCCAAGGTTCCACTGTACAGTGGACCCCCACATAACGATCACCTCCGAATGCGACCAATTATGTAAGTGTATTTATGTAAGTGCGTTTGCACGTGTATGTTTGGGGGTCTGAAATGGACTAATCTACTTCACAATATTCCTTATGGGAACAAATTCGGTCAGTACTGGCACCTGAACATACTTCTGGAGTGAAAAAATATCGTTAACCGGGGGTCCACTGTATTTAGGAAGGGTGGGGAATGTGTAGATCAAGTGTTTGTATTGAAGCATATAAGATAAGGGTAAAAGAGTTGTGTATTGAATTTGTGGATTCAGAAATTACGTTAAGCAAGTTTATTTAGGTACAAATACAATTATCATACACAGTGTACGTTACCTAGGATAACCCAAAAATGTCAGACAGAAATGACTTATTTCCATTGGGTTTGATAAGGGAGCCATGTGACAAATTTTGCAAATGACTAAGTAGTAGATTACTAAAGAGCAGCTACGAGTTTTTATGCAGAGAATGAGGCTTAAGGTAGGTTATGTAGGAGGGAGGGGAAGTGTTTCCCTGGGATGCATGATGTAATCATGGTTAGCATATTTATAGATTAGGTAGTAAAAGAAGTGACTGCTAGCATGTTTGGAAGAGGCATGGGATTTAAAAGTATAACACAGTACAAGTTTATTTCAACATACATTGTTTATACAGAAATGGGCAACAATTGATAGCATGTTGAAAGCCTGTAGTTATTCATAGCATTTCAGGCAAATGGCAGTTATCACAGTTGCTCTTTCTTGATGACTGTTCTTTTGGTGGATTCTGAAGACAAGCTGCGAAGGTTGATGGATGAATTTGGGAGGGTAGGTAAAAGTAAATTAAAAGGGAACACGGGGGGGTAACAAAAAAGTCTAGGCAACAAGTCATTGAATATCTGATTGGAGGGAGCATGGAAGAATTGGATGTATTTAGGTACTTGGTAGTGGATTGTCAGCAGATGAAGTGTGACCTAGAGAATAGACTTTATTGTTCACCACAACTTATATTAGTCCCTTTTATATTGTTTTCCCTAATTCTAACTTTAAAGAATTACCTTTAAAGTACTACCTACTATCATATTCCCAAGCTCCATTATTTGATCATCACTTTATTTGTTCACCACAAATTATTTTAGTCCCTTTTATATTGTCTCCTTCATTTTAGCTTTAAAAAAACTACCTTAGCTCATTATTTTTACATTTGTTAAATAATTCAGGTGCTATTTTTTAGTTTTAGACTATTTACTTTGTTTTATACTTAATTCTAACTATAGATTCACTACAAATCTTATGATAACAAGCACTGATCCTGATACCAACCTCTTATTTAATGACTTAAATGAATCAAACAGTTACTGTAATTACTACACAGCAGAACAGTCAAAGGCACTTCTCAGAGCCAACAACAACATAACTGTCTTTAACTACAATATCAGATCTTTAAGCAAGCATTACAATGACCTCATAGCATTACTAAATTCCTTGCATGCCAATATGTCCATCATTACACTAACTGAAACCTGGCTAAGCCTGTTACTATGATGTCTATCCCAAATTCTGGTTACACAGTCATACACAACTGTAGGCCAGACCAACAAGGGGGTGGCACAGTATATACTACTCAGACCAACTAGAATGTATCACTAATACTTGCACAAGGGATGAACATTTTTGCTAATTTTACTGTAAAAAACCTTAAGACGCCTATAACAAATCGGTGCCATTTACCGGATACCCCACACTAACATCCCAAACTTCAGTGAGAAAATTAAAGGCATAATAACAAACCCAGACAAATGAATAACCCACCACCTTCTCTTAGCTGGAGACTTCAACATCAACCTTGGCCCTACTAGATGTTTCACCCTGTAATGATTTCATCAACAATATGAACACACACTTCTCATACCAACATAACTAAACCAACCAGGCTCACTGAAAAAAAGGGTGCAACCATAATGCCCCACATATGGCCCAAATATACTAGCCCCCCTTAAAATCAGGGATAATCACAGTAGCACTACAGACCACTACCCTACCTTCCTCTTGACAAACATTAGTAAACCACCACTGAATACAACAAAGTCTCATTT